ATGCAGGTGTCTGTCTGTTGTACGAGCTGCTCCATTACAGGGGATTATGAGTATCTTTACGTGACTTTAGATCCGAGAAAAATGACCTCACTCACAAGCTGTTTATTTTGTGGAATTGCATCGAGAGACAATGTTTGCGGCCCGTGCAGCATACTTCCGCGTGATGATCAAATCTCTCAACTGTTGGACCATTTTCATATGGCAGCGGACACCAGAAATGAATGCCAACAACTCGCTCGACTTAATTCAGTTTCAGTACGTCAGTTTCCTGTACCATCTAGCAATCGGCCATGGTCATCTATGTCCATCACTGGTTCTCTCTCAACCGATGAGGATCGCGACAGAGCTCGTCGAGCGAAAGATGCGGAGCGAAAACGTCGCCAGCGATCAAACGACAAGAAACGGCAATACGAGCGTGAAGCTGACAAAAATCGAAAGGCCGAATCACGTTCTCGTCAAACAGAAGTTGAACATGAAGCCAGCCGTGCCGCTAAGCGACAGCAAATGGCCGAATCGCGTTCTCGTCAAACAAAAGAGCAAAAGGAAAAAAACCAAAAACGCCACTCATCGACTAGAGCGATTCGAAATGCGGAAGTAAAACAGACTAAATCTGTACCACTGTCCTGGCCATCAGATATTCCGTACGACGTGAAACGCTCATGTTACGGAAATTTTTTGGAAATGACTTCAATGTCCTCTTTGGCTGAAAGCCCTTGCGCAATATGCAACATGCGTGTTGTGGTCAGAGACATGGAATTAATACCACAACAGCAACTTCAAGAGTAAGTGTGCGTCGTTCCGATATGAACAGTATTTATTAACTTAATGACAAAAAACTACCTGCTTGGGTACTTGAAACTAATGTTCAAAAGTATTTGTAGCCCATCGCAGACGTCGTTCCTGCTATTCAACAGTCACTTTTTTTGCTATCTAGATCCAATCTTCTCACTCCTGACTATCGGATTCAAAGTATCATCCCTGGAAGTCGACGAGCTTCGACAAATTGGTCATCATCTAAAAAAGCGACAACAACGTCAATCACCGGAGGTATTCTGTAGCTCTCATGGTGGTATAACCTTTTTTACATTATGTATCTACTAGATCTCAGTTCATCGTACGTTCTCTGCGGAGAGGAGGATGTTCTCCTTTACAAGCGCGGTCTTTTCAACGAACGCACTGATCAGCAAAGTGGCGAACAATCATATTCATGTAGCATATGTCCCGAATGTCGAACGGCGCTGTCAAAGGATAAAATACCAAAATTTTCGCCGGCAAACAACATATGGATAGGCGATGTACCCGAGGAACTTAAAGATTTGACCATACCCGAAGAAAAATTGATATCACTTTATACGCATGACCGGTGCGTGGTTAAGCTTTACACTCCATTTGGTCACTCATCGACAGCACAGCCAGCCTTGAAAGGACATGTCATTAGCTTTCCACAAAATGTTTCCAACATCGTAAATACTCTTCCACTTTCGCTGGATGACCTTTGCGACACTCTCAAAGTGGTATTTGTTGGTTCATCCGGTCTAGTCCGTGGCCTAATGAGCCGAATTTTGACGGTTCGCAAACAAAAAGTGCGAAAAGCTTTGGAATGGCTTATCAAACACAATCCCCTGTATCGAAGTTCCGTGAAAATCGACTACGACAAGATCGACATACTTCCAAACAATGATATACCTGAACCACTCTGGCAGACAATGACAGTTTCGACAAATGTGGAAGAAATGGAAGCCGAGAGAAGCGGCTATGTTCCTGATCCTTTGGCCAATATTATAGTCGAAGGTGAACAAACCGAGATTTGCGTTGCAACAAGCGGAGTCGTGGACGTAGAAGGAATTGCTGTTTCATCCGAGGATATCACCAATCGTCTGCTAGAGAAAGTGCGCATCGATTCGTCGAAGCCCATTGTCGACATTTCCTCGTCGGTGGAAAACGGCAATGAAGAAGTTTATGTGATTCCGCACTCGCGCAAACCAGCCATGGAATATTCAAATCCTCAGTTGCTGATGGGCCTCTTTCCGACTCTCTTTCCTTACGGTTGTGGAGGAACTGAAGACGAGCGCCCAGTATCTGTTTCCTTTAAAGCTCACATCAAGTACCTACTCTCTTACGCTGACAGACGGTTCGAAAGATATCACGCGTTTATCTTTGTTGCATTCAACATGTTGCAACGCCGACAGGCATGCACACATTCTCACCTCCTGGTGTCACGCCCATACTTCCTCAAGCAAGCAGAACAACTGAACGACATTACTAGTGCCGAAATTCAATCCGCTCTCGCAAATATTTCGGACAACAACTACTCGGGCAAAAATAATCCACGCCTGCAGACACTGATGCGACAGATCAGGACCGTTGGAGGAAATGTCATGGACTCGCCACAGTCACGATCGGCTCAACGGACTCAGATTCATGCTTTGAATTACTTCGTCGGCCTACCAGATCTCTTCATCACTATCAATCCGGCCGATGTTCATCATCCACTAGCGATGTATTACGCGGGTATCAACTTGGATTTGGACAATGTTGCTCCAGTGCAAATCGCAACAAGATCGAACAGATTGTCGCTCAACGCCCTGTGGCCATGGCTAAATTCTTCAACGTTCTCATTACAAGCATCATTCAAGCATTGATCGAAGGCGGCGTTGTTGGTCCCGTCAAAGCTCATTTTGGAACTGTAGAAGCTCAAGGCCGAGGAACTCTTCATCTTCATCTTCTCGTATGGCTTGACCATGAGTACACACCCGCACAGCTCAAGGAGAATATTAAAACAGAGCAGTTTCGGAACAGTCTTATCGCCTATCTGGAAGATATTGTCAAAGAAGATATCGACGATTTAAAAAATTTGTCTATTACTGATATCGAACAGGGTATGTTTTATTTCCTCATGATATGAAGTTTTTTTATTGCTTTTTTCTATAGAGGATCCCAGTATCTGGCAGTACTCGTCTGTCCAAATGGACCACGATTACTACAAGTCAAGCATCGTGCCTCAGCCCTCTGTCGATCGTGATTATTACGCTTCCTTCGCAAAAGCCACACAAGCGAGTTCGAGGCATCGACAAGATTCTTCCGAAAAGGTGCCAGGTAAATCAAATGAGGATAGTTTTTTGATGCAGGACTTATTTGCAGCACCTCGTACACATATTCATTCCTTTCTTAGAGGTACCAATCTCAAAGAACAACAAACTGACTCCAGCTACCTCTCTTCCACCTCCTCGTCTAGCGTTGACGGACTTCCTACAAGAATTTTGCGCAGACTGCATGCGGCTGGTTCTCGAGTGCAACATTCACTCGCATACCTTCACTTGCTACAAGTACTGTCGAGCTGAGCAATGCCAGAAATGTCGGATGCGTTTTCCGCGTGCCCTTGTCAATGTTTTGAGTATCGACCCTGTCACCGGGCAAATTCGAATGAAACGATCACATAGCAACGTCAACAATTACAACCCTTGGATCATTGCCGCATGTCGGAGCAACATGGATATCAAGTATATCTTCTCGGGCTCCGACGCGAAGGCATTGATCTACTATATCACCGATTATGTCACCAAGAGCTCTCTCTCGTTTCACGACACTGTGTCACTCGTCTACAAAGGACAGGAAAAGTGGGAAAAGAAAAATGTCGATCAAGGCCCGTTGAGTATCGAAGAACGGTCACGCAAACTCGTGCTCACTTGTACGAACACGCTCATCTCTCGTCAAGAGTTATCGGGACCTCAGGTGGCCAGTTATTTAATGGACTTTGGGGACCATTATACCTCACACAAATTTGCAAACCTGCACCTCATCGGCATCGAATACCATCTTCAAATAGCAATGAATACAGCTAAACTTCAACACGCGGCAGCTCCTGTGGGCAAAATCGGTAAGCTTCGTTCATCGTTAATTCAGATGTTTGTCATATTTTTTTAAAATTAGGTGCGAAAAGTGAGGAAGAGCACGAAGAAATCGACGAAGCGGAGGAACAATTCACCGTTGAACAGTCAGATGATCCAAAAAAATACGTACTCTCAAATACACGTCTTGACTATGAAATGCGAGCCGAAAGCCTACACGATGTTTGTCTTTACGAGTTTGTCACCGAATTTGAGAAGCGCAAGATGACAGCAAATGATAAGCGAATCATGAAAACACAAGCCAAACGTCAAACGGAAGTTGCTTCACGCGGCCGCGGACGACTTCCGAATCAGAGGTTTCTATTTCAGCGTGGTCATCCACAGCACGAGTCGCACTGCTTACTAAAACGAACAATCAGTTACGTTCCCGTTCTTCACGGCCCTCAAATCCCACGATGCGATCGCGACGACACGAAAGAACGCTATGGTCGAGCAATTCTCGCGCTCTTGTTTCCTTGGCGTTCTGTGAGCGATTTGTGTTCGGTGAACGAAACGTGGCACGAAGCGCTCCATGCACGTGAATCTCTTATTACTGTCAATTCGAAGCGCATCATTGGAAACATTCAGTTGCTCCATGAATGTAAGGCCGATCGAGATGAACATTTGAAACAAGTCATGGAAGAAGCACAAACGGACATTGATCCCAAGCTTATTCCTGATCCTCGCGAGAATGAGATCGAAGAGATCGATTCTATCATGGATGCGCTAGCTACGTTCGACAACAGCGACCCGAACATGGCACGTCCTAGCACAAGGAAACAGAATAGCAACAAATACACGAAAACTACACTGGATTTAGTTGTTGGAAGTGGTCGATTTTCTCATTCTGATAGTGAGTGGAAATGAACTAGTTTTACCCAAAGCTTAGCACTTCTTTAAATCTGTTACAGGCACGACAAACGGTCTTCCACTCGACTATCTTATTCCAGCCACTAGAGACATGTCAGCGAAAAGCAAAGAATGGCAAACGATCATGGCCGAGGAAAAAGAGAAAATTCGTAACAACCGAATCACAGAACATGGCAACGGTGGGTCCAGTTTTGATACAGACGAGCCTCGGGCGACCACGATCAGTGACTTATCAAAGCCACGGAACAAGCAACAAGATGGTTCTGTGCTACCCGTGGAGGTTTTATGTACACTGACACCAGAGCAAGTTACGAGGAAATACACGTTAAACAAAGAACAGCAACGGGCCTTTTTTCTGATCACCAGCCATTTGGACGGTCACAGCCATCTTCAACAAAGTAAGTAAGCTGTTGAAAACCGGAGCAGACTAATCAAAATATGCTTCTCTTCAGATGACAAGCGCGAGCAACTTCTCATGTCTGTCCCAGGCGGCCCGGGGACAGGCAAATCTACACTAATTCATGCATTGTCCGAGTATTTCGAAGAGACAGGACGTGGACATATGCTACTCAAAGCAGCGCTCATGGGCATCGCAGCAATCAACATCGGTGGTGTAACAATTCACTCTCTTTTGAAATGGATCCAGAAAAGGAGAACAAACAAGACGGGCGATTCTGATAACTTTGGGGCAACAAGAAAAAAGAGCAAAGCTCGCAATGCAAAGGCTGGGAATCGGGGCGTGGAACACGACTGGCGGCACGTTGTATATCTCTTTATCGATGAGATGTCGATGGTCGGTCTCAGCCTTCTCGCCGAGCTGGCCAAAGTAATGACGATGGGA